CAAATTCATACAAGACCCAACTTTACAAACAAGGGTAGGCTGATAAAAAAACTCAGTTCATTCATTCATTCATTCATTCATTCATTCATTCATTCATTCATTCATTCATTCCTTCGTTCGTTCGTTCGTTCGTTCGTTTGTTTAAAACAACAAAAAACAAACAAACAAAAAATAAATAAATAAAAACATGCGTGCACTGTGATTATAATTAAACTGCAAATCTGCCGTGGCTGTGTTTGTAAAATTTTTAAGTTATTAATTTATAACTTATTATTTTAGGCAAATCGTTTGATGTATTTGTGCATTTTGGTGTCTTCCGAATAAAACAAGCTACGCAGAAAATCGAAGCTCAGCCATGGTGCAGGTCTCTCTATCGCAATCGCGCGCCCACCAAAAATCTGCATCATATATATATTAAAACCCACACTCAGTGTTGTGCTGTAAGATAAGATACAAAATAAAAAATAGGTTTAAATACAGTGGCTCAAAAACAACACACGATACTTCACGCAGTTGTGAACGACAATAACATATGTTCAGTAGTCAGTTGATACAGATTTTTGTTAGTATCCTAAATAAGACAGAACTACAATTTTATTTTAGAACTTAGTAAACTCTAAGAACTTAGTTAACGCTGTTACTGAATTCAAGCCTGACCTAAAATTATACTGTGTACATTGTTTTGTATTTCATTGATGTTTCCCCCTCCACATCAAGCACAGATTCTTCTCTCGTAAACGCATAAAACTGGGCGGAGCACCAAGAGCCGTCAGCACTGATTACTCACGGTGAGTAAATGTATGATTGGACGAGTGCACAGGATTTGGGAGGCACGCAGACCAATGAGATTCTTAGATTTGGGAAACGGGGTTACTGTCGTGAGGGGGCGTGGGGTGCCCTGGAGAGACCCCAGAGATAAGCGCAGTCAGGAGCGCAAAAACACTCAGTTGGATACACGACGCACAGAGAACCTGCGCAACCGCTACTAAATCCAATTTGGCTCACCAATCGTACAGATGTACACATTTCGTACGTTTTCAAAGCTTTTCCATCGCATAAAAAGGATTTATTTGATTTGACTCAGTTCATCACGTGGCATGAGTTTTAATTAACCTAATTACGGGCAAGTAACAGCCACTCAGTTGCTCATAGCCATATAGCTACTTTTTTTCTATTTAAACGCGGGTGTAGTGTCTTTACGCATTCTTTGGTCAAAAATCGTGGTGATGTTACTGGACGCCGGCCACCAGATTTCTGGTTTAGGGGTTGGCACGTTCACAAGGCATCACTCGGCTGTGAGCGAGACCCAGGACAGAGATATGAGTTTTATGGAATCGGCGCACATGGGCGCGTTCAAACTGAACCACCCCGATTTGTCCCCAGGCCAGAGCGCAGCTTTTGCGCCACAAGCAAGCAGCTATTCTGCGGCCGCTCTTGGAGCGCATGCGGCGGCGCACGCTGCCTCTTTCGCCAGCTCCACTTTTAACTCCACCAGGGAGTTCCTCTTGCGCAGCCGAGGATTTGGGGATTCGACTCCGGCCAGTGGACAACACCCCATCTTCAGCTCCACATCAGGGTCTCTCCATCACTCTCACCCAGAAGGTCAGGGTCACCTACTTTTCCCCGGAATCCACGAGCAGCACGGGTCCCATCACGGCTCTCCAAACATCCTGAATGGACGCCTTGGATTACCCGGTGAGGTTTTCGGGCGGACGGAGCAGTATCACCAGGTGCCCAATACGCGGGCCGATCCATACAGCCAATATGGCCTAAACATGAGTATGAACATGGCGCACCATCCAGGCGCGTTCTTCCGCTACATGCGACAACAGTGCATCAAACAAGAGCTTATTTGTAAGTGGATCGACCCCGAGCAGCTCGGTGACCCCAAAAAATGCTGCAGCAAAACTTTCAGCACCATGCACGAACTGGTCACGCATGTGTCCACTGAGCACGTTGGCGGGCCAGAACAGTGTAACCACATCTGCTTTTGGGAAGAATGTCCACGGGAGAGCAAACCATTCAAAGCAAAGTACAAATTAGTGAATCATATCCGAGTGCACACGGGAGAGAAACCCTTCGCGTGCCCATTCCCGGGATGTGGCAAGGTGTTCGCGCGTTCGGAGAATTTGAAAATACACAAACGGACACACACTGGTAATTATTTCAATTCGTGTTTACATACTAATTTAGCTGTAGCTATATGAAAAATGTTTACATCTCGTTTTTACATTGCCATTTGAGTTGATTGCCATACTTTGACCTTGCCAAAACAAACACACACACTTTGTTTCTATTTTTTTGCGCACTTGGGTCACAGCATTAGCTAGACAAGTCAGTTTAACATCACACAAATATATATATATATATATATATATATATATATATATATATATATATATATATATATATATATATATATATATATATATTTTTTTTTTTTTTTTCATTAAGACTGATGCTTTTGTAAATGTGAATTGTTGTTGTTGGAATGCGTAAATTGGAGGTCTCCCAATTGCGCCATCATTCCTGTTGCAGCCAAACCACTTTTTGAGAAAGTAGTACTAGTAGCAGCCTGTTCATTGATTCAGCCTTCTGTGATTGTAGACAGAGCGGTAAACATATGCTGAATGAAAAATATTCTTATCTTTTAGGAGAAAAACCGTTCCTGTGTGAATTCGAAGGCTGCGACAGACGCTTCGCCAACAGCAGTGACCGGAAGAAGCACATGCACGTTCACACGTCTGACAAGCCATATCTGTGCAAACTCTGCGACAAGTCCTACACACACCCCAGCTCCTTGAGAAAACACATGAAGGTGAGAATTGAATCCAGCAGTCAACTTTTATCCGCTCATTACTGCTGGAACCCATCCCCAAATGTCTGTACGAGTTTAGACATGAACTGTAACTGACGTTTTCTATTACTTGTATATAGGTTCACGAGGATCAGGCTCCAATAGCGGACTCCTCTCCTGCTGGAAGCTCCGGGTACGAGTCCTCCACTCCGTCCAGTCTGATCTCTCCATGCTCGGAGACGCACAGCACCTTGTCGCCTGATTCTGCCGCGCTCAACAGCAGCGGGCACAATAGCTTAACGTCCAATTTTAACGAGTGGTACGTTTAAGGACTCCGCCAAGAACTGCATATCCTAAAATAAAATATTATTTGTAAATAGCAAATGAGGGTTTATGTTCTCAGCATGTCGGTGTTGCACTGTGAATAAAGAAAGCCGAGAATTATTATGTGTCTAAAAATGCAGGCAGTTTTCTTCAATGAACAACATGTCCTTTGGTAGCTAATGCGTTGCCAAAGACAAAGAGTGGATGTATTTTTAATTTTGGTCTGTATTAATTGTTTTACAGTAACGTCGGGTCAAGTTACGATGTTTGAATAGCCTACAATGTATCTGTCATAGATTAAAGCTATTTGACGTTTCATGATTGTCTTACCATGAAAGTATTTTCGGGGATCCTTAAGTGCCCAAGTCAAATGTTGTACAGTGAAAATGGACACAATTTCGTGAATGTATTTTATTGTACGAATAATTATTTGTTACTCATGTAGAAATCATCCACTTCGAGTTAGAGTATTTAGAAATGTCTCGTTTTTAAATTATGGTATAGCTTATACTTGATAAAATACAAAATATTTATGGAAAAACTCGACGAAAATGTGTACAGAATTGTTACATTTAAAGTGTTTGTACATTGTTATTCAGTTTAATGATGTAAATTCTTGTGATAACAAATGCCAAACATTAAAATGAAGGAAAATATTATATAAAGGCAATAAAATGAAACAAATCTAAACGAAAAACTCATTCGTTCATTTACCATTTATGTGATTACCAGGAAACATTTTTTTTATCTGTTTATGTTTTACGAATTTTAGTTGTGCACTAAAATAAAACATTTTTGTTTTATTCCGTAAAACTCTGCCTATGGAATTTCTTCCAAAAAGTTATTTGTTTTATGTATTGGTCACTTTACATAAACTGATCAAATGGTAAGAAGAGATTTTTTAAGACCACACATATTCCGTATTTTAACTCCAGAGACGTAAAGAAAAAATATATGAATGAATAATACTGATAATCCAAAAACGGTTATTTTGTCCAGTTGTCATTTTCTAAAATAAATAAATAAATAATAATAATAAAATAGATGAAACAAATGACAACATTTGTATAAAAAGTTAAAACTCTTAATATATAGTCTGATATACATTTATTTACTGTACAGATTGGAATTTGTTTCGTTAGTGTCAGTTTTGAATGTGTTTCTATTTATAATAATAACTAAAATTCTAATATCACAATGATTAAAATAATATATAAAAAAATAATAATACACATAAATGTGACCTGGGGCAGCTGCATATTTTCAATTAAAATATTAAAAAAACTTTACAGCATTGTGATCCGACACAGATACATTCACGACAATACATGCATTTAGATGCTTTTATCCAAAAAAGAATAACAATTATAATTATAATAAATAATAATGTAGCTCAATTTGAATCAGGTTTTAAGGCGTTTTATTCTCCATCCCTTATTCACTATTGACTATTTCTTTGGATGCTCGTTGAGGTTTATACAAACAGAGAATTAAAGAATCAGTCTAATGGTATCTAATATTGTTTAATATTTTAATAATATATTCAATAATATAGTTTATATTATGTACCCTGTTAGATAATTGTAGCTCTTTGTATAACTCGAAATAACTGTAAAACCGCACAAATTAACCAAGATAAGTCCTTATTTGAATAAAACATTTTTAAAACTATTTAATGAATGGTTTTACTTTTGTGATTCGTGCAGAGAAGTCTTCAAGGTCACGGTTTTCATCAGCAACCTGTCATTCAACTTTCGGTTGTAGTGTCTCCCCCTCTGCGGGACAAATTTCATTCTCTGACATCGCAGCACATTCTGATTGGTCGTGAGAGCAAACACCCCCAAATCGTGTGAGTTACGTCGTCAGTGCGCGCCGCTCTCCTCTCAGCAGCTCTCCGACTATCATGGCGGCTTACAGAAGCGCTGCAGGCTTTCAAAGAGTTTTGCATGATGTTAAGGTGAGCGTTTCATATCGGAAATCGCCTTATAAATGAAAACATCCAATTTAACTAATCTGATGACTTTTCAGAGTTATGTACGAAGCATCGCAGCTCTAGCTTACTCTGCGTTCTGGCTTATCTTAAAAAGACCAACAAGAATGTTCACTTGGTTTGACACTAAACGTTACATGGACAGTTTTGTTGATTGGTAATTGTCAAGTATAAGGATACATAATTTCTCTTTGTACGTATGTGTCTTGTTTTTCATTGTTGCTGTGATTGAAATTAAATATCAATATCACTAATGACTGTGATATTGTGTCAATGTCAAAAGGATTTTAGTTATGGTTTCCCTTGCTGATTGAGTAGTGATGCCAAAAGTATTTGAGATCCGGACATTAAACGGACTTTTGTCTGTTGTTTAGTTATTGTGTAATGATAATGTCTATTGTGAAATCCGACATTTATGTGACCGAAGCTCAGTAATAACTTCGTAGCAGCTTGCCATTTTGAGATTGAAGTAAGGTTGGTTTTATATTCACACATTTGTACAGTGACAACTTGTGACTGGGCATGGGCCAGTATAACCCAAGTTTCTGACGATTTAAAACCTTGGATAAAAATACCACGGCTTCACAGTATTGTGATTACTGCTCTAAAATAAATTTTTACATGTCTGAGTAAAAAGAAACATCTCTATTGAACACTATATATATATATATATATATATATATATATATATATATATATATATATATATATATATATATATATATATGTATATATATTAGGAAACATTTATAGTTTTTAACATAAACTTAACAGTAAACATGTCAGGCTGAAAAGTTCAAATAAATCCTTGACTTCTGCTCTTTTCCTTAGTTTCAAAAACACAGATTTCTTTTCAACACATAAAAAAAATACATAAAAAAAATCTTTACATATACCTCAGTAACGGTATGACAGAAAAATTTACCTTGACTTTTCCAAACCACGGTAAACCTTGAAACCAGTTATTGTCCCATGCCTACTTTTGACATGGTGCCTATATTGTTTACCACTCTACTTTGAAGCAAATGTGACTTCAAAAGATTATTATCACTATTTAATTGACTGTGAACCATGTTGTGCTTTGATAAACATTGGCTGCTAATATGATTTCCATATTTAGAATCTGAAAATAATGCTTTTGTGACATATTATTAAGGAGAAAGTCTACATGTGCAACATATTAAACCAGCTTTACCTCAGTCTCTTAGTGTGCATCTATCATTAATGATAGTTTCACAGATAGGCATGGGATGATAACCGTTTAAAAGGTACATAACAGTTTGGAAAAGTCAAGGTTTTAAAACCTTCAAAATTTCTGCAATACTGTTCCTAAGGTATTTGTATGGTTTTTATTTACTTTATTTACTTTTTTTTTTTTTTTTACGATAGCAGTATATCCAGCAGAAAAGATGCCGTTTCAAATTGTAAAAAAAAAATCTGCTTTTGAAAACAGCTGAAGTCAATAATTCATTTAGCCTGTTCCAAAATATTATAAATGATTCTCTAAATAAAATATACTGTGTTTAAAAGGGAAAAAGGTTTTGTTTTTTACCCAGACATTTAAATAAAATATATTTTAGAGCAGTAATCACAATACTGCAAAACTGTGAAACCGTGATATTTTTATCCGAGGTTATCATAACGTCAGAATCTTATACAGGCCCATGTCTACTCGCAGAGCTAGTGAGCAGTTTTTATAAGATCAGATTTACAAATAAAGCAACAAATGTGGTTGTTCAGATTAATAATATTAACAAAAAAGTTTACGTTTTATTGTAAAAACAGTTAAGCGGAACTTAAACACTGCATTGTAATTAGTCATTATTTTTAAAAACAATTTTGAAATCAAATTCACATATATCTGCAATTCAGATAAGTAACAACGCAAAATAATTCATTAGAAATTAATAAATGCTTCAGTGGCATGTATTTCTGCTTTTTTTGGCATCACAATGTACAGTAAATAAATGATTAACATCTCTCTGTCTTTCAGCATGTGTGTTTTAAGCAAAGGTGTGGTGTTATAATCTGCCGGTACTCTACTGTGATTGAGCCTAATGACAAGGTAAGTCTGAGAAAAGAAAAGGAATTCTTTGATTTAATGAATTAATACTTTTTTTTAAATTGCATATTTTTCTTACTTAAATCCCTTACACCTTTTTAAAGGTGCTTTTGAGTTGTTGTTTTTTGGATGTATAATATTTTGGCCAGTGAGATCTTGTATTGACTGTGCATCTACATCCTATTTAACACTGCTTCTTGAAATAATAGCTTAAAATCTTTATGCTCGCTAAATCTAATTTTATTTACAGTAAAAACAATTTTATAAATTAAATAATAATGTATTTTTTATTTTTTACATAAAAAAAAACTTCTGTTTTAGCAACTGGCGTTATTTTAGTGTTCAGTGTCACAGACATAATTAGTTGCAATCATGCCCCATTGAAAATATCTAAATTATGAAATTATAAACTAGTAAAACGTGTCCACATGCTAGTAAAATTTATAATTACAACGTTTAAACAATTGTCTAAACTCTGATGTGACTTTTAACGTGTGTCCCCGGCACAACCTGTTGAAATACACTACATCTAAAAAAGTTATAGAAAATACTAAAATTTTGCTCTACTTCATAGACATCTCTGAATTGATGAAGTGTCAGTAGAGCAAATAAATGAGTGGTATAACAAGTTCTTTTTCTTTATAATTATCAATTAATCAGGATAAACATGTTAAGCAGCAAAAATATATTTTATATTAAGGCTGCACTAGGGCTGCACAATATTGGAAAAATTTGACATTGTACTTTTTTTTTCTATGCGATATAAATACAATTTCACCAAATGACTTAAAGAGCTCTGTTTGGAAAGTCATTACTTTAGATTTATTGGGATGATTCTGTAGAGGAGTGAAATATAGATATGTTTTATGTATGTAAGTATATACATATAATAAACAAACTACAGTCTTAAATGAACACAATTAAACAAATATTAAAGTGAAATAAACATTGATTTATGATTTCAGATTTCAGAAAAAAAAATCATTACATAGTCTATATCCTATAAATAATTCAAAAAAATTAATCTTTAATAAATTTCTTTATGCACTATTAAAAGGTTTTAAACTTTCTTAAAATGCTCACAAAGCCACTGGCAGTAAAACACTTTGCAGATGATAAACATTCCTTCTTCCTTCTTCAACAACTTCTATTATGATTCTGCAATAACTCCACAAATCTCATGTGTTTTGACCTGTGCTTTATGGTCAAATATAATCCCTACTCAGCATTGCATATCGAGTGATATGACTATTGCGGATGCACACATTGCGATATCAATGCTCAAACGATATATTGTGCAGCCCTTTTAAGCACCAACAATATTCGAAAAAGATTGAGCACCAAATCACCCTATTAGAATAATTCCTGTTACACTGACATGACAGGAATGAATCGTGTTAAATATATTAAAATATAAACAAGTTGTAATAATATCTCGCAACATTCCTGTTTAATTGTATATTTATAATTCAATAAATGAACTTGTGGTTAGCATAAAAGGCAAAAAATCTTAATCTTAATTTTTATTATATTTAGTTTTTTATTAATGTTAAATGTCTCTGCATTATCTTTGTTAGTTGGTAAACCCTACCAAATATGTGTGTACTGGTCTTGATATCATAGACTCCATAATCATTGATTTTGGTAATGACAGCAACAAGTGGCATATGACAAGTTGAGCTTCGGAGATCTATTTATAAGCACTGGTATATATTGAGTCAGAATTGTCATTTCTTCACCCCCTTCACTCTCAGTCTATAAAGTCAAAATCCTTTCGCATTCATGCAGCTTTGATGTGCCATTCTCTAGCAATCAGCCTTTTGCCTGGAGGGGCTGAATGTATGCGTGTTTGTGTGTTGTGGCATTGGGGGTGTAGCAATAGGAGCAGACCGGGAACTATGCTTTGAGTTTAAGAACGTGTTCTTGGGATACATGTTGCCTTAGGCTCATCTTGACACATGTTTTATGGGCAGACACTTCCTTCAGTTTTTTCCATAAATTGTTTACACATGGCAGACAACATTAGCAAACACTCATGCTTTGATCTTTTAGGGCGCACAAACATCTACTTAACAGTTGGAATCATCTAGAGATCTCCCTCATTAGAACTTGAGAAAGTTCATTGCTCTTCATGGGCAGTGCATTGGCTGTATTTCTACCACTACAACAACCTAGGAACCACACTGTAGCAACAAACCAGAATCCCCCTTGCAGCATAGCAACATCCTAGCAACTATTAACGATAATATAGTAACTCTATAGAAACACCTTAGCAACTCTATCTATTACACTTTTTTTCTGTCTGTCTTCATGTTTTCATTTTGTCTATGTACAGTCGAAGTCAGAATTATTAGCCGCTCATTTATTTTTTCTTTCTCTCTTTTTTTTTATATTTCCCAAATGATGTTTAACAGAGCAAAGAAATTTTCACAATATGTCTGATAATATGTTTTCTTCTGGAGAAAGTCTCATTTGTTTTATTTCGACTAGAATAAAAGCAGTTTTTAATTTTTTAAACACCATTTTAAGGACAAAATTGTTAGTCCTTTTAGGAATTTTTTTTTCGATAGGCTACATCTGCTTTCTACTGTATATCTGTTTCTCTGTCTGCGTGTGTTTGTATATGTATGTCCGATCATCTGTCTTTTTTACTGTTTATCTGCTTGTCTGTCTTTTTTTGTTTGTCTTTCTTTCTCTATCTGTCTGTCTGCTTATCTATGTGTGTCATCTTCATGTCTGTCTGACTGCTAATCCGTCTGTGTTTATCTTCATGTCTGTCTGTCTGTCTGCCTGCTTATCTGTTTTCTACTGTATATCTGTCTGTTTATAAATCTGTATTCCTGTCTTCTCTAACCGTCTTCGTCTCGTCTGTCTGTCTGTGTATCTACCAGTCTTTCTGTCTTTTTTCTGTCTGTCTTTTTCTTTCTTTCTTTCTTTCTTTCTTTCTTTCTTTCTTTCTTTCTTTCTTTCTTTCTTTCTTTCTTTCTTTCTTTCTTTCTTTCTTTCTTTCTTTCTTTCTTTCTTTCTGTCTGGTTATCTGTGTGTCCATCTTCATGTCTGTCTGTCTGCTTATCTGCTTTCTGCAGTATATGTCTCTCTGTCTACCTATATATCTGTATTCCTGTCTTTGTCTATCTGTATGTTTTTATCTGTCTGTTCATCTGTCTTTTTTCCGGCAGTCTTTCTTTCTATATATCTGTCTGTCTGTCTGTCTGTCTGTCTGTCTGTCTGTCTGTCTACTTATCCATGTGTGTCTGTGTTCATGTCTGTCTTTCTGCTTGCCTGGCTGCCTTTTTGTCTATCTTTCGTATGCCTATATATCTATCTGTGTGTCTTCTACCAGTCTGTCTGACTTTTTCCCGTCTTTCTTTCTTTCTTTCTTTCTTTCTTTCTTTCTTTCTTTCTTTCTTTCTTTCTTTCTTTCTTTCTTTTTTCTTTCTTTCTTTCTTTCTTTCTTTCTTTCTTTCTTTCTTTCTTTTTATCTTTCTTTCTTTCTTTCTTTCTTTCTTTCTTTCTTTCTTTCTTTCTTTCTTTCTTTCTGTTTGGCTGTCTGTCTCTCTGTCTGTCTGCCTGCTTAACTATGTGTGTCTGTTCATGTCTATGTTTTCTTATCTGCTTTCCACTGCATGCCTTTCTGCTTTACTGCCTGTCTTTCTGTCTATCTATCGTCTGTCCATATATCTGTCTGTGTGTCTTTGTCTATCTGTCTGTGTGTCTACTCATCTGTTTGCTCATTTTTTTTCCCTGTCGATCTACTTGCTTGTTTTTTTGTGTGTATCTTTCTATATTTGTCTGTCTGTCTGCTTATCTATGTGTGTGTAAATGTCTACAACCTGTCTGTCTGTCTGTCTGTCTGTCTGTCTGTCTGTTTGTCTACATGTATGTCTGTCTGCTTGTTTTTATAACTATATATCTCCATATGTCCATCTGTCTAGCTTTCTGCCTACCTATCTGTTTCTTTCCATCTGTTTGTTAGTCTGTCTATTCCTTTTTTTGTGTGTCTATCTACTTGCATATCTATCTGTCTAAATTCTGCCTATCTGTGTTTATCTATGTATACTATGAGTTTAGGTATCTCTCTTAATACTTAATGTTTTAAATCTTTTAAATGTCTACTTAGTGTTTTAAATCTATTTTTACAAGTTTAATTGAGTGTTTACAGTTCTGGAGATGGCTTAAGTCAGACTTGGATGTGTTTTTTTTCCATACAGCTTGGCACTTGATTGCTTGATTTTTATCTGTTCACACTCTTATCTTGTTCTCTTCACTTTCTTGTCATCTGGAAGGCAGCGTGTGGTGTGTAGCACAACTTTCCCTTACAGCTAAATGAGTTGGGCTTTAGTCAGCGTTAGAGCACACACACATTGTGGACAAATTAAGTGTTGACAAAACAAATGTCTTAATCGCTCTGTTCCCTTTTCCTTTCCACAGACCTTTGATAAAATCCTCATTGCAAACAGAGGCGAGATCGCCTGCAGGGTAAGTGAGTTTGTTCTTCAGTTTGTTTAAGGCAAAACATTAGATTTGTCTTTAGGCCATTTTTTTTTTTTTTTTTTAAATGGTGAAGTCTTACATCTGTGGCATGAATGTCTTGAGCCTCCAGTGCATTTTTACTGTTCTAAAATGTAAGCATTTATATTAATGTGCTCTAAAAGGTCGTAATTCCTTTTTTATTTATTAACACAGGTGATTAAAACATGTAGGAAGATGGGCATCAAGACGGTTGCAGTTCATAGTGATGTGGACTCCAGTGCGGTGAGAATAACAAATATTTAAATATATCATAAATATAGACAAGTGCAGTAAGACTCAGAAGTCCAAGAACATACATCTGATTTAAAACGGCAAATGACCAATTTGCAAATAAATCATGTAATTTCAAGAGTATTTTATTAAAAGTTGACAAATTGCTGTTAGTTCATTCCTGAGATTCAACTTTTGGTTGATCATATTATATTGAACTTCTTTGTTTTAATATACAGTTGAAGTCAGAATTATTAGCCCCTTTGAATTTGATTTATTTTTTTCAATATTTCTCAAATGATGTTTAACAGAGCAACGAAATTTTCACAGTATGTTTGATGATATTCTTTCTTCAGGAGAAAGTTTTAAGCACCATTTTAAGGTAAAAATTTGTAGCTTATATTTTTAAACTGTATTTTTACTAATCTATATTTTTACAACCCATTGTTATACAATAATTTGCCTAATTACCCTAACCTGCCTAGTTAACCCAATTAACCTAGTTAAGCCTTTAAATGTCACTTTAAGCTAAATACTGGTGTCTTGAAAAGTATCTAGTCAAATATTATTTACTGTCATCATGGCAAAGATTAGATTTCATTAAAAATGATACTAATTCTGACTTCAACTGTAACTTGACAGTTATTTTTCAGAATGTTTTTAAGGGTTTGACTATAAATAGTTTAAGAATTTGGGTCAGACATAAAGTAGTTTTTTTTCTTTTTTCTTATCGTGGTGTATGTATTAGTTTTTTTTCATGTTTTAAACTGTTTAGTTGTTGCCTTGAATTTTTTTAAGATTTTCTAATCAAATAGGTAATAGATGACTTATGTGGCTTTCATGACTCTGGAGTGCTGCTGTTATAAAAGGGAAAAAAAAACGTGGCCATAAATTATTAAATTCATGCTAAAGAGTTAGTATTAAAAAATTAATTAAATACAAAAAATAAAGTGATGGCATCATTTACTTGCTCTCACAAGGTTTTAAACTACACAATTGACTTTTTTTCTGCAGAAGAAAAAGTATTTAAAGAATGTTGGTACCCACAATTTGAACATAACATTGAGACATTTTTTTTAATAATTTTTAAAAAATAAATAAAATTCACAAAAGTCAAGCAGATTTGTATAAGAGTAGGCAAAATAATGGGAAAGTTTTTTAATATTAATTCTTTAAAAAAAGTATGAACATATTTATTTACTTTGAGTTCAATAAATCTGTTATGCTGATGATATCATTGAATTAAAATTCTTACATTAAATTAGAGAAATTTAAACTTCTAGGGCCTATCATAGACTTTATATTGTGGGTGATTATTCATTAAAACGTTCACACGATAATACAATCATAATGCAAATGCATATGTTGTACAGGCATTTAGTGAGGCATTTGAAATGAATAAATAGATTTGCTGAAGCAGGTCGGTCATCTGGAGGCAACTTGGTACTAATATCTAAATTAGACCCTAGTACACTTTTACAAGCATTGCAAGATAAGCACGAAGCTTTTGCTCTTCTCACCTTTATCTTTTCATGGAGTGTAATCCTCTGTTCCCATGATTGATAGCTGTCAGTTTTCTCCCCCTCCTATTCCATATGCATGAGAATTTGATAGAGGCAGTGTTTTAAACTCTGTTCGCCCCCCTGCTGTGTTCTGTGCTGGATTGGGGGAATGAAGAGGGGGGGTAGAGGTGGGGATCTTTTGCATTTGATTTGCAGCCGCCAAAGAGCATCTAAATGAAGATGTTTAAACAGAGCAGTGGGGGATAATCTGGACTCTGTATGGGGGAACAAATTGACATTAGAAGTCCGTATACTGACCCCAGGATTGGTGTTGTCAAATATTTTACTCACAGAATGCTTCTTTTAACCCTCATTGGACTTTTTACACCTTGTAGTGGCATTTCCTTAAACTTGAATTGGAAATGCATTTACTAATTTGGCATTTGTATAAAAGCATTTCTTTAAAAGTAAGCCACAGGCTATGTCTTTGGTTAACTGTGTAGGAAATCAAAGTTTATTATCCTCCCGAAAACAAATGGTGGGAAGCTGTCAAGTTTTGCAGTGCATTAAGCTTCTCAGACAGAAAGCTCGTTAAACACACAGACAATAAAAACACGTCTCTATCCGTCTCTGCGATTCAAAACATTAAAACAAAAATAAACAAGAACTAATTCATGACCAGTTTTCAAATTAGCGGTAAAATAAGGTTAAAGTTTACTGTTAACATGTTTTAATAGTGTATTATGGGCTCGCTTGTTTGTGTTGCAACTGTGCACCATTTTCGCGCAAGCTCCTGTTTACGTCAAGCTCGTTAAAAGTGAGTGAAAACGACTCTGCGTCTCCCTTTTTACACATGTGTGGAAAACATTAGCAGAGAAGCAGCAGTTGGCTAGCGAGTCTTTTCCAAACCTCCCCTGTTGATGCAGTTGTCAATATTAATGCTTCCCCATTGTGAGGTCTGTCACTCCGTCAGCTCACTGTCACAGTTGCTTCACACCGTGTGTGACGACATCTTGGCCACACAGGCAATGGATTTGAGAGGAACTGACTGGTAGCAATAAAAATGAGTGCGTTTCAAATTTCAGAATCTGGGTTACTTCAACAACCAAATCAGAAATAAATAAAAGGTGAAAAACAAACCTTTTGAAATTTGTACTTATTTCACATAAAATAAAATGTGAGTATATAAACTAAGAAAAGCTTATGATAATTAGGTTCTAGTTAACTGAACTACTGTTTTTAGATGTACAGTTAAAGTCAGAATTATTAGCCCCCTTTGAATTTTTTTTTCTTTTTTTAATGTTTCCCTAATGATGTTTAACAGAGCAAAGAAATTTTCACAGTATTTCTGATAATATTTTTTTCTTCTAGAGAAACTCCTGTTTGTTTTATTTCAGCTATAATCAAAGGAGTTTTTTTTTATTTTTTAAACACCATTTTAGGTACAAAATTATTAGCCCCTTTAAGCTATTTTTTCGATAATCTACAGGATAAACCACCATTATACAATAACCTAATTACTGTAACCTGCCTAGTTAACCTAATAAACCTCGTTAAGCCTTTAAATGTCACTTTATGCTGTATAGAAATGTCTTGAAAAATAGCTAGTCAAATATTATTTACTGTCATCATGGCAAAGATAAAACAAACCCATTATTACAAATGACTTATTAAAACTATTATGTTTACAAGTGTGTCGAACAAAATCTTCGGTTCGTTAAACAGATATTGGGGAAAAAATAAACAAGTGGTCTAATAATTCAGGGGGGCTAATAATTCCAATTAATACTCATTATTATAAGATATGTTACCACTATTTAAATATGCATAAAAACAATATTGTAAACCCCTTTACAGCCAGTCAGTATCAAGATCATGAGTTTGGTTTCTAGCAAATTGAGCACACTGGAACTGATAATTGATTTATGATGGTTAAAACATTTCAAAATACATTGCATCGACACTTTGGATGTTCAAAAAATGACAAAGTATGATGTTCAATATAGATTTCATTGTAATATATTTTATGTTTATATTAAAATTTATATGTAATGTATAAATAACAGTTTTATTTCTCTTTTTTTCTGACTTCAATTGTTTTCATGTGTGTTTTTACTCCTTCAGGTTCATGTGAAAATGGCAGATGAGGCTGTGTGTGTTGGTCCTGCTCCTACCAGTAAAAGTTACCTGAACATGGATGCTATCATGAATGCCATCAAGTTGACTGGAGCACAAGCTGTGAGTGTCTCTGCGTTTGTTTGTTTGTTTGTGTGTATGGTCATGGTATTCATTACTTAAGAAGACCACATGTACCCTCAAGTATTGATTTAATTCTTCAATGTGAAGTGCGTTTTTGTGATTATTTTAGAACTTCTGATTCAGTTTCCTATGGGTGATATGACTAGGAATAATAAACGGCAGAAAACGGTCAAACTACTGGCTCTACTAAGTTTTTCCATGATTATAAAAAAAATAGAACAATATATTAAGAAAATGTTTGTTTGCGACATCAAGCAGCATAGCAAGCTGTTTTTAACATTGAAAAGTGAATGGGACTGAAGTCTCAAGCCAAAAAGATTCCAATGGATTCCATGATATTACATGAATGCTTAGATGTTTGTAATACTTTGTAAAAGCATTATTTTTTGTAGGTTCATCCAGGCTATGGATTCCTGTCTGAAAATAAGGAGTTTGCCAAAAGATTGGTAAGTCTTCCGTTCTTCTGAAAGAGTAAGAAATAGGGACAGTAAAAAGGAAAACGAGTTGTTGGATATTTAAATGGCTTTGTGTTAGAGTTGGGGGCAGAGCTGCTCCTTCACTCATTGTTTTGCATCAGCCAATGTCCCTCCCACACGCGCACACACACACACACACACATACAAAGTTTTTGTAATTAACAACTCAGACCCCCCAGTAGTAATTTAATTAAAGGTGTGAGTTCTGAGGTGAGAAGATTATTTGCAACCCAAATAAAGGCAGAAAGGCCAAAAGGGTCATTTGAAATTCCAAATTCAATTTTACTTACAGATTATTATTGTTGAAATTTTTGGCTTTTCATGGATAATGCAGTGCTTATTAGAATGTAGCCAGTGCTCATAATTAGTTTTTTTTCTCCTTAGTTCTGAGTATACTTACATTTCTGTTACAAAGTTAGCAGATAGATAAAAAAAAAAAAAAAATGTAACCAAATATGTTCCTTCAGTTGTATGACAGTATAGTAAAATCTGCACTTTATTAAGTATTATTACAATGTATCTTGTTTTAACCAAAAAACAAAACATAATTAACTTGGCAAAACTGAATGTCCAGCAGTCATTACTCTTCTCTTCAGCGTCAGTATATAAAAAGCAAGCAAACAAACAAAAAAAAAAACACGAAAAAAGTGATTTTTAAATTTACTTTGACTTGCATGTCACTGCAGACAGTACAACAAACATTATTTAATGTGTTCCTCGTGATTTTTGTTAAGTAAACACCTATTCCAATTTTGGTTTTGAAGCACAAAATGCAACAATGAAAAAGCTGTACTTTTGCCCACCTAAGGACTTGTTTGCGGAAGAATAAGGAAGAATAGTGTCTTCAATCCCTAAATATCTTTTAGTGTTGTGAAAAGGAATGGCAACATTACAAATACACCACACATTTTCTATTGGGGACAGGTCGGGACTGCAGCCAGGCCAGTCATGCACCTGTATCCTTTTCCTCCACAGCCAGGACTTTGTAATGTGTGCAGAATGTGGTTTTGCATTGTCTTCTTGAAATATGAATGATTGTCTCTTGAAAAGAAGGCAGCATATTGTGCTCCAAAATCTCCATGTACTTTTTAACATTATTGATGCCATCACAGAAGTGCAAGTTACCTTTGCACACAGTGTTCATTTCTCCCCAAAATACCTGAAGTACTAATTAATCTAACCACAGTAAACATTTCCACTGTGTGATGGTCTATCCAAATTCCTCACAGCCCAGAGAAGTCAACAACACTTCTGGATATTGTTAACATAGGGCTTCCTTTTGGCACAGTACAGTTTTAACTGGCATTTGTGGATGTAACTACGTATTGTGGTACTTAACAAAGGTTTGCCAAAGTAGGTCTCACCATGTGGTGATATTGTATATAGATGAATGATTATTCTTGATGCGGTGCGTCCTGAGGGATCAGAGATCACTGTGGTTCAGCTTAGACTTGCGCCCTTGTTTTTTATGCACTGAAATTCCTCTAGATTCCTTGAATATTTAATTTATCTTATGCACATTTGAAGGTGAAATATTCAAATGTCTCATATCTTGCTTTGAGGAACATTGTTTTTAAACATTACAGTAATTTTCACACTTATTTGTTTTCAAACTGCCAGTCCTCTGCCCATCTGTGCTCCTAAAGGACTAGACCTTTCATGAATGCTGCTTTTGTACCAATCAAAATTCCAATCACCTGTTGATATCACCTGTTTCAAATCACTTCATTATTTAACCAGTTTATTTGATTACTACCCCTAAACGGCCCTTGTCCCAACTTTTTTTTGGAATGTGTTGCAGGTCTGAATGTCAGGAAATTATGTATATTTACAAGTGAAATGAGGTTGACCAGAAAAAAAAGACATATTTTGTGTTCATATTGTCTGCAATGAAATACAAGTCAAAGTAAATTTGGAAATCACTGCTTTCTTTTTTTTATTTGCATTTTCCATACTGTCCCAACTTTTTCACATTTGGGGTTGTAGAAGAAAATATGATATATTCATAAATACCATTGCTAAAAACCCAGTCCTATAATAGCAATGCTAAAATGACAATGGCAATTTTGTAACAACTTCACTGTCAGTTTTAATAAAATAAAAGTAATTATTTTTAGTAATTATTTTAAAATCAACAAAAACGAACTGACCCTAGACTTTTGAATGGTAGTGTAGTTCTGTTGTTCTGAACCTGTGCTGTAGTTGGTTGATTTTCAGTATTTCTGTAAGGAATAGCTCACCCAGAAATGTTCTAATCATTTTTCCATGCAGTATCATCTAATGTAGACTGGAACATTGAAACTTCAAAAAGGGCGCAGAACAAAATTAGAACCATAAAACTGACTTATAAGATGCATATAATAGCATGAAAAAGAACAAGCAGTGTAGTTTTTTAAATTCACTTTTTGTTTCCCACAAGAATGAAGTGCAATTTTGAACAAGGTTGTGATTAGTAAAGACTGAAATATAGAATTTTACCATTTGGATGAACTATCCCTTTAACCCCTGTGCCCCAAAATAATTGAGCCAAGCGCTTTGGTACCGACAAGTGCATGTGCCAACCTCCAACTGTGCCTCAGTGTTGCCATAGCAACTAAACTCAGAAGCTACCATCTTTTTTTAACCCTTCAATCGATTATGACTAAATAAGGACATGCCTCGTGCCATGGCAGGCCTCAAACACACTCAGAGAGTTCACATGGGGCCGTCACTCTTTTTTTTGATCTAGATATTTTTGCTTTTTTTAGGATTCCAGATTTCTTCTGCCAGATTTCTTCTTTTCGTGGAGTTTGCCGCATTGTTAAACAGGAAAAAAAAACAGGCGGAACAGACAGAATTTGAGAATAGAGATGAGGGAAGATAACACGCCTTTCTCTGTCTCTTTTTTTTTTCTTTCTGTTTCTTTTGTCCACACTAGTCAGTCATGGAAATTTCTCGTACAATACACGCATCTTTTGTGTTGCATGTGTTACTCTCGGCAGTGTAGTGTACAACGTGAGACTCTCCTGGCAGAGTTTTCGTTGACGTGCTTGCAAGATCTGCTTTGATATAAATCACATTCAGGCAGGAGGGAAACACACATGGAGCGTCGTCACAGCAACGGCGGACTCACGTTGATAGGTTGCCTAGAAGTAGTCGTAGATAAAATTTTTAGCTAAAAATCTAAAATAAATGAGCTTTTCTGGTGCAGTTTTAAAGGCTTTCGGCAGAACATCATACTGTTAATCAACAGAGCCTGTTAAAAATTCATCAGCGTGTCAAAATAAGTGTTAAATATTAAGCAGTCAGGGACCCAAATCAGCTCGGCTGTACCCAGATTTGTTTCATGTCTCTTCAAGGTTGTCGACTGGATTGGTGTAGAGGACACCTTTCAATTTGGCTGTTATGCTGCAGCGAATGAGTCAGAAACCACTGCTTTTTAAATCGACGGCTTTGAGGAAAATCTGCCTAGCAACTTGGAATGAACAGAGGCTGTTTTCTTTGAGGGATTTACTTTGACTCATTAGAAATACATGAGTAATTCTCTTAATTTGAGTGCATATAATCCACAAACTTCTATCTTTCCAACCCCATAGGAATTAATGTTAATTCAACACTAGATGTAATTACTTGAACTGCGTAATTTCAGCGTCACTAGTAAGACTACTTGCCTACGACCTATATATTCTGGAATGTTTTGGAGGGTGGCAGTTCATTTCATTGCTTGCTTTTCCTTAAAAGAAATTGCTAAATATGCAGATTATATCATTAGGCAAAGAGAAAACAATAAGAGGCAGCACCTGATTAGGCATTTATCCCTGTGATATTGTAAACAAACAAACAAAAAGACAGAAAGTAAGAAGTGTTTGAATGTACACTATTTATGATATGGCATTTCTGTGTAGAGTTTGCATGTTCTCCCCGTGTTCGCATAGGTTTCCTCCGGGTGCTCCGATAAATAAAGTAGTTTGAACAAAAAGCAGAAGTAATTTTTTGAGTGTGGAAGATTTCCAGTTTTTAACAATCACCCGTCTGCCGTGCATGATACAGCTCTGTACCCACTGTAATTCAGCTTTATTCATGTGGCTTAAGGCACAGGGGACACCGAGTATGTATAAGCTTGGGCAAAAGTAATTTACACTATTTGTAATACATAAGAGCAAAATGTTCTTAGATGACCTGGTGATATTTTAAATGTCATCTTATGGACTTTGTAGTATCCCATGAGGCCACATGAGAGCAGATGTGGAGTAAAACAACACACCTGATGATGTACAATAAAAAATAAAATGATTCAAAGATGATTCTTTGGATTTAATAACTTTTTTAAAGTTATGTGGTTGTAAACAATTTACTTGGGTTGAAGTTAAACAAATACATTAAGTTAAACATTACTAAGCTTTATTTGTTTAAATTCTACACATAAATTGTTTGCAACAACTTTGCAATGTTTTTCAGTGTTTTTCAGTGTAAATCACATGAAGACCATGACAAATTTAGTACAGTCAAACACATCATGAAGTGCTCAAATGGAGCAACAACACAGATTTTGAATGCCACCAGTAAGAATTCTTATTTAAAGACTTATAACAGTAATGTAAATTACCTAAATTGTTCATAGTATTTCTGCAACATTGTCTATTGTGTCTTGAATCAGTATGTAAATGCTTAGACATTTGCATTGCATTGACATTATGATTTCTTTTGTATCCTCATGATTGGCCTGCCAGCTAGAACTTAAAATGTTTTAATCAAACACACTAGAATCTATACATCTGTACTTAAAGATGAAGACCCCACTCAGTGTTTGTACTGCACAACTCCCCTTACTGTAAAACACATTTTATTGGATTGTCCTGCTTTTAATGATCCCAGAAGGCTTTTTTTTTTTAATAAAATGAACTCTTTAGTTGTTATTATTTTTTTGTTATTATAAAATGACTTTTTTTTTTTTTTTTTTACAAAGTGACACCAGGAAAACAGTTAATATC